ATAAATTTGGTCAAATGTTGAAAAGTTTGACTTGATAAAAAAATGAGACCAACCCAAGGGCTAACCCTCGTTGGCATTTATTTATAGGAGAAACTCCGCGAGCACCACACGTCCAAGCCGGGACTTGAACTCGGGTGGGCTGGCAGCAACCTCAACTGCCCAGCCAACGGGTCGACGCCCCGTCCTCAAGTTTGACTTGATACAAATCTAATACGTGGAGTAAAAAGGACCGGGTGGAGTATATGTTTAAATCCATATCATTGGTTATAGATTCAAGCTAAGTTTCCAGTGGTATGCTTATGATGAGATATACCCATCAAAGTGTTTTAAAATACGTGAGAGCCTTATAAACCCAAATGAGAGAATACCCACCAAAATTACAAAAAAAGCATCTAACTTTCATCAAAAATTTGATGGAAATGACCACATACCCACTATTGTAGAGATGCAGTTTTTTTTGATGACCCATCGCAAACATCAACTGGATTGTCACTCCACCCATGAATCCTCCTCGTCCAACTATTGTCGGGCTTCCAACATGAGCTCAATGACAACATCTTTGTGCCGGCATCGATTGCGACCTTGTTCATTATGTGGTTGTTCGAGCAATCTTGTTTAAACAATAAGCTCAGTCTTGAAGGCAAGCAAACTGGCGACCAATGATACTATTTTTTATGACATATGTGTTAACATTTTATTAATTAAATCCATGATCAAAATTTGGCATAAAAAAACTAAAGGGGCCAATAAACCAGGAGGAGGTAGTAATAGTTTGGGTGCAACCGTGCTCAAAATTCATGCATCGCAAACACAAAAAACGGATGAAATAAAAAATCCTTCAAAGAGAGAAGACGTACTCCAGAAAAGAGTATAACTGGGCATAACTGGGCCGTGAAAATTAAAAAAAAGGCATAACTGGACCGTGTATTAACTCTGGCAGGACTGAACCTTTGTTACATCGCCAGGGCGGCCCAGCAGACCTGGTCCACTCCGAGCCGACCAAAACTAGCAAACGAACACCACGTCACGGCCGACGCGGACGCTTGGTGCCCAGAGCAAACCAGCTCGGAATCGAAACCGCCTCCCCTAAGCAAAGGCGCCTCCGGAGCTGACCGGATCGATCCAGAAGCCCAAACAAAGCGTGGCCAGCCGTCTCCATCACGTTCTTCTTGCACAATAAGAAAGGCGAGGCAAACCGTGTCCGCAACGGCGACGGCGAAACCCACCCGAAGCTATAAAAGTACCGCGTCGTCCCGCCGTGATCACACCACACGCAACGCAAGCCTTCGCACCCGAACGCAAGAAAGAGAGAGAGAGAGAGAGAGAGAGCACACGCGGCGGGGGAAAAGCAGGAGCGAAGCGAGGGATCGGGAGGAACATCGGCGAGGCCATGGCGCGGCGGGGCACGGAGGCGTTCCCGGACCTGGGCGCGCACTGCGACAGGGAGGACTGCAACCAGCTCGACTTCCTGCCCTTCGACTGCAACGGCTGCGGCAAGGTGTTCTGCACGGAGCACCGCGCGTACGTTGACCACGGCTGCCCGCTCGCGGCCGACAACGGCCGCACCGTCGTCGTCTGCGAGGCCTGCGGCGACTCCATCGAGCGCGCCGGGTCGGACGAGACGGATGCGCAGATCCTCGAGAAGCACGCGCGGTCGCGCCGGGGCTGCGACCCGGCCAGGAAGCTCAAGCCGCGATGCCCCGCGCGGCGCTGCAAGGAGACACTCACCTTCTCCAACACGAGCCACTGCAAGGAGTGCGGGCAGAAGCTGTGCCTCAAGCACCGGTTCCCCGAGGACCACGGGTGCTCGCGCGTGTCGCCGGTGGGGGCCGCCGCCGCCGCGAGGAGGGCCGGCGACTGCGGCCGCGACGCGCAGAAGACAAAGGACGGCGGTGGGTGGGCGCTGCCGCCGTTGATCCGGAATTTCAATTGATTACCCTGAAGCTGAAATTGTGGCTGGGATTTACGCAATTCATGGAACGTTTGTTTTCTCCGGTGTCATATTTTCAATTGTGCACATTTTGTTGTTGTTAAATGAAGAATCAAATTCAGTTTATTTTATGCTGCGGTTGGCTCGAAATGTCGAATTGAACTCATCTACAACGTGTCAAATCCTCAATGCTAAAAGGTTCTTTTGGAGCAACTCCAATGGGGCAACCCATTTTGTCCGCGTGCACCCGTTTGGATCGGCGCCCACAAAAGTGGAAGCCAACGTGTCGACCCAAATCCAAATCGTGTCCGCGCCGACGCATTTGCGGTCGAAATGCGTCGGCGCGGAGGCGAAGCGGACATCACGCGCGCCTTCTCGGTGTTCGTCGTGTCCCCACCTGACGGTCGTCCAACACCCAGCAGCCAGTTTGGTCAGCTTAATTTATGACGACCGCCCACTTCGGGCTCACGCGTGAGCAACGACGGTCCTATTTTTTAAGCCGACCGTGCGGGGGGAGGGCCGTCCTCATCCGATTCCAGAAAGCTCCCGTCCCCATCTCGCTCCCCCGTCGGTGACAACCCTAGCCACGTTAGTCAAGCTAGATGGGGCTCTTCTCCAGCGCCGGCAGCACCAAAGCCAAGGGCAAGGCCCCCGCCACCCCTTTTCCCCCGAGCTCCCCCCGCCTCCGCCGGCGCCGGCTCGCCGGCCGAGGAAGCGCGTCAACGTGCCAGTGCACTAGGCGGAGTGGCACTGGCAGCACCACGTGCCTCTCCCGTACCTGACGTCACCCTGCCGCACGACTCGCATATGGATCCAGAGAGGATCCCAGTGCCGACGGCGCCACGGTCGGATAGGGCGCACGCGGAGGAGGTGCGGCGCCGGCGGGCGCGGCTGCCGTCGCGCACGCCTTCGACTCGTCCAACTTGGCTCGTTGGTTCGCCTTCGAGCACGAGAAGGCGAGGCGGAGCGGCGTCCACAAAGTCGGCTGTAGGTCGCCGCCGCCCTCCCTCGTCGTCCGTAACAAGGACCAGGAGGCGGAGGCCGCCTACCAGGCGGCCCTGGCGGCTGTACACCGAGAGAGCGAGGAGGAGGAACGTCGCAGGGAGGAAGAGGGAGGCGGTGTACCAGGCGGCCATGGCACAGGCCACGGACCTCTCAGCGGTGGGCGATTGCGTCGTGTCGTCGGTGGCCCCGCCTTCCCCCGTCAAGGCCGAGCCGGAGCCGGAGCCGAAGCCGACCCCCATCGAGCGCTACTCATGGACCGGGCGAGTGCGCGAGTGGGTCAGCGCGTCGCCGGTCTGGATGGGGGCGATGCCGGCGCATGAGGCGGCGTACCTCGAACAATGATGCCAGCGACGGCTGGCCGTGGAGCGCCGCCATGGCGAATACCTCGAGATGCTCAAGCGCGACACCGAGGAGGAGCAGCGCGACACTGAGGAGGAGGCGCGCCAGGCCCAGGAAGCGGCGGCACAACCCGCGCCCGACATCAACGTCGTGTGGAACACGACGTTCCCCTGGGCCGGCCCTGCGCCGACGCTCATCGACCTCACCGGCCCCGACGACGACGAGGACGTCCAGGGCAGCGCGCCACCTCATAGTTAGCTTTTTATTATGTTAGATGTGGATGCATGGACTATCGCCGGCCTTCGTGGCCGGTTTTAATGTTTAATTAATATTTGTTTTTATTTTTAAAATGCTTGAATTCTAATTTTTTTTTCACGCGTCGTCAAAATGGGTCGGACCATCGTTGGGCGCATGCGCCGACCCAAACGTGAAAGCGGACGTTGATGTCCGCCGGCCGATCTAAATGGACAAAAGGCGAACAAATACGCTGTCCGTTTGGGTCGGTGTGTTGGAGTTGCTTTTACTGGCTTTGCCTTCCGTCCTTGGTTAAATCCGCTAATAGGGCCATCACCAATGCTCTATCGCTTGTTTGGATGCTAGAAAAAAAATCAAATCACAAAATTAGCTTAGCACGGGAAAACTTTCTATCTGTTCATCATCAATCATGGCAGTACAACAAACATCAGAAATGACAAAAAATACATTCATATTCATAGACCACCTAGCGACGGCTACCAGCACTAAGGCAAACCGAAGAGTAGAAATAACAAAAGATACATCCAGATTCATAGACCAACACACCAAAACAGTAACCGACATCGATGAAGAGAAAACATAGATCTGAACGATTCAATCTGCAGACATATGAACATAGATGAACGAAGACCGGATTCAAGTAGATCCACTAAAGACAACCACCGACATAATCCTGCAAGATCCGTCGGAGACACATCTCCGCCCGCCCTCCAGACAACCACCAACCTAACCCTGCAAGATCCATCGGAGCCACACCTCTACCCAGGGGCGGATCTGGAGCTAATCTTACCCTGAAGCACCACTTAACCATGGCATGAATTTTTCAAGCGAGGATGCAACAAATAAAGAAATGTTCCATACCTTGTAACACGAATAACAAAACATAATATAAGTCGGTTTATAAAAACGAAATGTAAGAGTTAAACAGCTTAATATAACACTAAAACATATGACAAAATTACTTTAGAAGGATGTCTTCCATTCTCAGATTCCAAAACACCTCATCACACACCAAGGTTCAATAACCTACAATATAAAAACTAGTATTAAATTTTCAAGTAGAAGTGTGGAACATAATAAAATGCATAAATCAAAGTACTTAAATCTGCTAAATTTTTATAAATTACCTTCAGTACATTCTTTTCCTTCGAGCCATGAAATACTCAACCACTTGATCATTGGTGACCTTTTTCATCTCTTCTCTCTCCACATAAAAAATAACATCATCACTCAAGCTGTCATCACTGAGGCGCCTGCGCAAGTCAGTTTTGACCAATTTCATTGCTGAAAAGCACCTCTCAACTGTAGCAATAGCAATAGGCAACACAATTACTATTTTCAAAAACCAATAAAATAAAGGATACATGATATGTCTCCTTGTCTGCACCATTTTTTTTGAAAGCTCGGTGATTGTTGCTATGTTGGAAAAGCTATCATATGTGCGCACATCAGCAATATAGAGACGTAGGTCCTTATCAAGATCCCTCAAATCCCCGGAACCAAAATCATGAGGGTATAGTTTAGCCAAACTCATGAGATTATCCAAATTGAAATCACGAAATGAGTCTCTTGGACTCAAAGCGGCTGACAAAACAAGAAAATCAAGGATGCCTCGCTGAACCTGTTGTCAAGCTCTTGAACTAGCCAATCGAAAACATCGTTGAAGCAATCAACCTCATAGTGATGTTTGTTGGTAATTCCAGTTACCCGCCTTCTCTTTTTTGGATTAACATATGCTTCTTCCATGTCCAACTCTACAATATCATGTTTCTCACAAAACACATGAACATCACCCAACATAGATTCCCATCCATCTTCTCTAAGTTCATTCAAAACTGTTGTAGTTGACTTGACACATTTCATGGCATTTAGTATGTCTTGATCCTTCCACTGCAATGCTAATGACAATTTGTTGGTAGTACTGAGGATTGTCAACATGAGATGCAAATAAAAGACAAAGTCAAAAGATTGAAAGTACACTAGAAGACCCACTGCTTGGTCTCTATTCGTTATGTTAGTGTTTTCTTCGTCAACAAATTCAAGAACTTTAATAACTGACCTGAACATGGCAACAAAACTCTTAAGTGTTTTAGCATGCGAGCCCCAACGAGTGTCTCCGGGTCTTTGAAGGCACTGCTCTTGATTCTAACCTTTTCCTGTTGTAAGCGGCCCACACCCTAAAACCTTGCTCATTTCTTCAAGATTTATATCTCTAATCATGTCTCTTCTCTTGGAATAATCGCCCACAACATTTAACAAGGTAGAAATCATACTGAAGAAATTACTAACTCCTTTATGCTTTCTTACAACAGCCACAACAACTAACTGGAGTTGGTGAGCAAAGCAATGGACATAATAAGTTGTGCTACTTTCTCTCATGATTAATGATTTGAGACCATTAAACTCACCTCGCATGTTGCTGGCACCATCGTATCCTTGTGTTCTAACTTGATTGTAGCTCAGCTTATATTTTGCAAAAAGAGAATCAATTGAACTCTTGAGGTACAAAGAAGTTGTTTCTTTCACATGAACAAGACAAACAAAGCTTTCTTTAGAATCTCCGGAACTATCAACATACTGCAAGGCCACACCATTTTTTCTTTGCAAGAGGCATCTCTGGACTCATCAACAAGCAAGAAAAACACATTATTCTGAACTTCTTTGAGAATAGATTGGACTATCACATGGGCAAAACCTTCAGCAATATCTTTCTGGACTTGAGGAGCAGCCATAAGAGCATTCTTTGCAGCATCTTTTCCCATAGCCCTGCCAACAACTGGATCATGCCCAGCTAAGAAATCACGAACTTCCAAGAAATTACCTTTATTGTGTGAGTTCTTTGACTCATCATGGCCCCGGAAAGGCAACCCTTGCTAAAACAATAGTCTAGCCGTGTCAATTGCGGCATTCAATCGAGTAAAATATGCAACCTTCGAAGCTTCACTTTGAAACTGGATAGCGACATTAATGTGTTCATCTCTTTTTAGTAGAGCGGTACATTTTTTTCATTGCTTGATCATGGACAGTACCTGGCTCACCAACATGATCTTTTAGCCTTGATGGAATGCTCCAGGTATCCCAACCATTCAGAACAAATGCCTCATACCTAGCTTCTTTCTTGTGGCCACGGTCCCTAAATAAGAAACAACAAAAACAATATGCTTTTTTCTTCTCTTTGTTGTATTCAAGCCAACTCACATGATCATCAAACCATTCAGGATTGAACCTTCTCCTCTTAGTCCCAAAGTTCGAATATGGAAAATCAATATCTTTTGGCTGACAAGGTCCATTAAGCAAGTACTTTCTTCTTACCAAGTCTTTCAAATTTGGATGATAATGTTCTATCAATTTCCTCCTGCCTGGATCATATTGAATTTCCTCCTCCCAATTCATATCTTCTGGAG